TACTAATAATTATTGTATTTTTGTTTTTTTTATTTTTTTGTGTTGTTTTGTTTGTTGGGGTTTGGGTTGGGTTGTTGTGTGCTTTATTTTTTTTTTGCCGCCTGCGGGGGGGGGGGGTTGTGTTTTTTGTTTTTTTTTGTTTTTGTCTGCACCATTTCCTAGGCTCCTTTCCCCCCCCTCCCCCCCCCCCTGCTGTGGCGGCGGGGGGGGGGGGGGGGGGGGGGGGGGGGGGGGGGGGGGGGGGGGGGGAAATGAAAGAAAAGAAACATATTTTACGCAAGTTTCGTTTTCCCGGGCGGCCTATAGGACGAGTTCCTACTTTCGCGCGAAAGCGAGGCTAACGCGGGGCACTTCTTGACGAGACTGACAAACAAACATAAGAAAACTGCAGCTGATTTGTCCGGAAACCGAGGAATCCTTAAGCGTTCTTAGGTTTCACTAGGCTCAAAACTTAGAGGCTGTTTACATGGAGGGGGGAAGATCCTAGCACCAGGAAGATACTACTGAAGGCGGATCATCCTTGCGCCGTATGTTTTCTGTATATAGTTAACATGCAAAGGGTTGTACTTGTCCGGTAAATCGTCCTAGAACTTGGTTCTTCCTAGCTGCGAGGGAGGAAGATCCTAGCACCATGTAAACTGCCTCCGCTACTGAAAATCCTAGAACACTTAGCTAGGGACAAACCAGACAAAAATGGTGGCGGGTCGTTCATAGCTAATCACGGCAATAAAGGCCGACCAATTCATTTGGCGTTATTACGGGCTGGTTTTTGTAATAATTCTGCTGAAAGGTAGTTAGTTACGCCAGTAACTGAAGAGCGTAGAAGAGTCCAAATTACATTTTTTATTTGTTTTTGTCGCCCGCCGATTTTTAATTCCTTTTCGATCATTTTAATTCAAGAGCGGGCACTAAGGATAGTTGACTCACATTCAGAAACGTATATGAACTTATTAGATCGTGCTAAACTACCAAGCCTTCTTAATAGGAGATTATAAGACATAATTATATTCATGTATAAGGTTAAATATAGGCTAGTTCCTGATCGAGATCAGACTTCCTTGACGAGGGGGGCATTGGGGTATATTAGAAACCGCAAAACCGAAGAAAAAAATCGTCCGAAACCGCAAAACCGCAAAAAAATTCGGCCAAAACCGAAAACCGCATACAAAACCGTCAAAAACCGATACAATGGTGACAAGTGGGGCATACAGACCAAACTAAACTAACACTAATTTCACCAAAGTATTTGTGAATGTCATGGACTTTGTCTGAAGCCTTCGTATCTTTTTGTGTCAGCTTAAACCATAGGCTTTGATTCTGCCGCTCTCTCGAGCCCAGACTTTGCGGCTCAATTTCCGAAAAGCCGCTAGTTATGGAGCCTAGTTAACTTAGGAGAATTTGCACACAAGTCCTCTTTAGAATTGCAATTTTGCAGTCGCAAAAAGCTATAACTCTGGAAACTTCAATCGAAAATCTCTAATCGAACATCCCTTCCTCGTAAAAAAACGCAACACAATCCACAATTGCTTCTTCCGTTGCTGGCGCGGGAGGCACGTTGGAAGCCATAGCTCGCAAACTGACCAAATGGTCGCCCTGGTCTACGAGGTCAAAGTCTCGCCGGGCGTCAAGGGAGACGCTTGATCCCCTACCATAACATTGATTTTGTCAGGCATTTCTCTAAATAACTTTGGCGTTTCGCGGCTATTCGAGATCAAGTGCTACTCAAATCGAACAGAAACCGGAAACCAAAATAGGACAAAATAGGAAAAACCAAAAACCACCTCAGGTACCAAAACCGAAAAACCGCTAGTATTTTTCACGAAAACCCAAAACCAGATGCTAAAAAACGAAAAATCCGCAAACCGCAATGACCACCAAAACCGAAAAACCGAAGTCTTTTGCAACAAAAACCGAAAAAAGGATCTAAAAAAATAGCCAAAACCGCAAAACCGAAAATCCCAATGCCCCCCTCCTTGACGCATGACTGATNTAACTTGGATCCAAAGTTTAGGCGTCATCCGTTAATCCCTCCCGGCCCAGTTATGTTACGATATTACTCTCCCTTTGTTTTTCACAGGTACAAAAATCTCATAAACAAGGGGGATGTTTTTGGCCTTCCCCTGGCAAACACAAAAGGCAGGGGGAAGGGGGGGGGGGGATGTCTCCAAGGAAATCGGTGGCTCAATCCGCCTGCCAGTATGACAGACTCGTACCTGGAATGAAACCTCCAATGTAATGAATTTTAAAGATTCCTTTTTATCGTCGAGCAAATTTTACGGGCAATCATACCGACCGGTCACCCTTTTGAGGGCCAGTGCACAGCACGATTGAGGAATTTAGACACAGCAATAAGAGGTTCATCAAAGGATGTATTATACTTTACATTGTGCGCATTTTCAGCTCTTCAGAGCTAGTGGAACCCCATATCAATTGTTCTCTTAGCTGTAGCGTTGAAAGAGGAAGCTGAATGACAGGTATTTGTGAGAGACTGTGAGCATTGAGTTGCTTTGCCGCATTTTAATACTGTACTGGGCATACACCTGTAATTCTCTGTAGTTAAATCCCGAAAACCAGTAAAAGGTTTTGTTTAATTTTTGGGGGGAGCAAACCCAGTGGAGATTTTGGGGTAATAATATCACTGACGATTAAGACGATGTTCAACAGGCAAGTTTAAATTTCGCCAGTGGGTCACTGGTGGTTGTTGGGTGTAAACTACTACTAACAGTTTGTGATGTACTGTGTGTTGTTTTTCATGA